TTTCACACCAGTCCCATCTTTAGCTACAGCTTCCCCTGCTGTTTATGGGAATGACTGTGGGAAAATAAAAAACCACAACAAAAACCAACAAACCCACACAAACAAGAAAACTCAAACGAAAAGCTCACACACTTTCATATTCTGTGCACAGCCCTATGGAGAAAGACCCCCGACCTACAGGAAAGGAAATAACACAACAGACACCCCTGAAACACACCAGCAACACACTAAGTGGCAACAACCTGCAGGAAAAACAGTGAATGGAACTACAAAAATCCCACCCACCCCACTGTCACCCAACGTGGGGCGGCCAAGGGAAGGCACCAGCGACACAGCTTAGAACCTCTCCGTAAGCACAGCTCCCTCAAGGCAAAGTTAAAACTAAACGTGGCCTTGCGATAATACACGATTAAAAACAAACAAACAAAAAACAAAACAAAACAAAAAAAAACAAACCAAAACTTGCACGCAGCTCCTGATTAGTACTCGTCAGCGGATAACTCCTCCAACAGCCGTGTGTGCACACCAGCAGTGGGAACGGGCGGGAAGAGGGAGAAGGGACGGGGGAAAGGGAGAGGCGCGGACACAACACGCCGGAAACACCGGGGGTTTTGTTTAGTCCCCTTGCTATATTTCTACACGCACTTGGTACATTTATTCGGGTCTTTGCCGCAGCAAAGGCAGCTGGATGGCTCCCGAGCCGAGGGGGTCCCAAGCCCGCTCGGCCCTTCTGCATCCCGCGGGACGCTCCCGAGGGAACCCGGGGAGCACCCGGGGCCAGCCGGACCCGGAGCTGCCCTCCCGTAGAGGCGTCTCCCGTCGGAGAGCAACGCAATAAACCAATAAACCTGCTGCCGTCGTTGCTGTTTATGAGAGCGACACTGAAAGAGCGACCGGGGCACTTCCCCGCCGGGGCGGGGGTCGGCCGCTCCGCCAATTCCCACGGCCCGGCCCCGCCGGCCCGGCCCCCACCCCCCGCGCAGGCCCCGCCCGGCCCGGCACTCACCGAGGAGCAGCCCCGCGCTCACATGCCGGCCAGAACCGCCCGGTGCCCGCTCGCAGCCGGGACCCCGCGGCCGCCGCGCCCCCGGAAGCGCTGTGGAAACACTGGCGGGTCACGGGGCGGCAGCGGGCGCAACCACCGCGCCTGCCGCGGGGGGGGCGGGGCGAACCATTCGGGTGACGGGGGGAAGGCGGCCGCGGGGACGAACCATTGCGGAGGGGACGCGCGGGCTGTACCACTGCGGGGCCGCGGGAGGACCGGCGCACCGCTCGGTCCCCGCGGACAGCTCCGGTCCCGCTCCGGCCGCTTCCGGTTGCTCCATGGAAACAGGGTTGGCGGGGGTGACCGGCATCCCTCCGCCGGTGTCTCCAGGCTTTGTGGGGGGAAAGCGAGGCTCAAGGGCCAGCGCGGGGCTGCGCTCGCGGGATGCTCCGTTCCGCTCCCCTCGGGGCTGGGAGCATCCTCGCGCAGCCCGGTGCGGCCCGTGAGACACGGATCAGTGCTGAATGCCTCTCGCAGACCGCTGCGGTTTTTTTCCCCTCTAACTGCTCTCGGCTGGGCCCGACCCAAATGTTCCCGTGGCGCTGGGTGAGCGCACGCACGTAGAGGAGGAAGGGCTGGTTTCGCGCTGTTCCAGCGGCCGTGGGGCTCTGCCCGGGCTGTCCTCGGCTGTCCGCCGGCAAGGCGAGCCCAGCCCAGGCTCTGCTTGCAGGCGGACGTGACCCAGAGCTAACGTGCGTGTCCTCGCAGACACTTGGGGCATTGTCAGGAATCAGACGGGTACCGGGGAGAAAACAAGGTCCTTTTGCAGAGAACACAGAGCGGGACAAAACGTGCCCCAGCCTTGCTGCTGCCTGCCTGTTCGAGGCCTGAAAGAGGGGCGAAGCGGGAGGGACCGGGGCAAAACCCTGGTGATGCCCCAGCCGGTGACACGCACTGCCTCGTGTTGGAAACGGCAAGACCTGCGCTGCAGAGTGGCAACTTCTGAATTGCACCTTAGCTCATGCGGGGCTTGCCAGGCTCCAGGGATAAGATTGGGGGCATGTTTCCCCATTGGGATTCCTCCCCGAGTCCATGGGCGCAGCACAGCGGCCCTGGCACCGCACCGGGCGGGCACGGAGGGCAGCCCGTGACGCTCTCCCGCCATCCGCGAATGCACTTCCCTGTCACTGCACACATCGTGGCTCTGGCACCGCCGCCGGGACTGGAAGCCAGCTGGGAACAAAGGGAAGAGCTGCAGGGCTGGGATAAGCGGGAGCTCTCCCCGGGACAGCACTGGCCGTGTCAGCAGGACATTTCATCCCAGAGATTAAGGGCTGAGCCACGAACTTGTTTGGAGCTGGAGGGGGAGCGAGGGCTGAGGGCAAAGCCAGCAGCGCTGTAGCGAAGCCCCTGGGCCCAGGGCCTTGCCAGGGCAGTAGTGACCCTCTTGTGAGCCGGGCGGTCTCGCCGTTCCTTTAAAGACTCGGACGATGGCACCTCCGGAGAGAGGGCCCGGTGTGCCCTTCGCCCACCGCAGCAGCGCATCCATGCCCTGCCCACCGCCCTGCGCTCAGCTGGCTCCGCGCCGGCCCTGCTCCATGCTGGAAGGTTTAACACAGCGGCCAGGGAGGTCCGAGCAACATCCAGAGCTTGGCAGCCAGCTGTGCAAGCACTGCTTCCAAACACACTCAGTCCCTGTGTGCTTACAGTCAGGAGAACGATTGAAGGATTTTTTTCTTTTTAAGTAAAATCTGGAATGTATAGTACTGCCTGGAAGAAGAGGGACTTGGCGGAGCACAGGAACCAACAGCACGTGTGTCCTGTACCCTGGCAGAAGCAGCAGTGCTGGTAGGGAGGTATCAGGGCAGTACCCAGCCATGTTACTTCCCACAAAAATACCTATTTTATAAAAAAGAGTATTTTCCATGGCTGTGCCTTCTTTTGTGTTGGCTCACGCCCGGAGGGTGGAGGGGTCGGTGTGCTCCGCAGACGATTTCTCTCCAATCCAGGCACCAGCCCTGTGCTGGGGAAGATGTAAGATACGTGACTTTTCCCCTACGGCTGCTGGGTGAAAACAAAAACCCCCCACATAGCATGCACACAAAATGACAACAGAGACAGCCTGTCATTGTGCGGGCTGTCACGCAGAAGAGGGGCTGTCCCCCCATCCCCCCTCCACACCGGCAATGGGAGAGCAGAGCCACGGATGAGTGTCAAAGCGCTCCAGCAGAACATGTAAGGAAATCCTTTCGATGTGGAATTGCCACCGGCTATCAGGGACCCTGCGCTGGGTTTTGCTTCCAAATCTTGCTCCAGATTGCAAAACACCCGTCGGAGCCGGGACAGCTGATACCGAGGGAGTTTCCAGAAGGGATGCAGAGCTCGTGCCTTTTGCCGGACAGCATGCATTATCAGTTCACCAGGGACGAGCTGTGTGGCTGCTGTTTGTCAGCGGTCACATCCGCACCCGAAGTGTTTTTTCTTGCCCAACAGCAGTCTGAATGAACCGGGGGGGGGGGGGGGGGGGGGTCACAACAAACGTGCCCGCTCCCCAGACGCGCTCTGGTTTCCGATCTGTTCGAGGAGGGCGTGTGTGTGACTTCACGCGGATGGGAGCCAGCCTGCAGACTCGACGCCTGGCTCTCTGAGTCTCCAAACCAGACTTCCCACTACGGGACAGCGCTGCGCCCATCCATATCTCTCTGTCTTTGGTCCTTGGCAAATCCTCCTTGAGGTGCACTAAAATTTTCAGCATTCCAGCTGTTTGCTTGGCTGCGGCTTGTAGGGTGATGGGCGGGAGCGAGCTCACCCCATGAGAAGGTGAGAGCTGGTCTACTGAGGATGTACAGAAAACCTTCAATTGCACGTCCCTTTTTTTGGGGAAGTTGCTGGAAGCAGACTCCCGGGGCCGAGGGACAACCTCCACCCCCTGCCACTGCGAGGGGCACTCGGGTTCGCCGCACGCCCAACCCAACGGAGAACAACGGAGGGGGGAAAATATACAAAAAATTAATGTGACACGGTGACATTTGATGCAGCGACAGGAGAGGCGGCAGTGGCGGGGGCGGCCGGGGACACCCCGACTCTCCCCCCGCCCCCTGCCCCGTCCCTCCCGCACCGCCTACGTGCGCCCCGACACTGCCCTGATGGCACGGCCCCGGCGGGCCGTACCATGGGCCGGGCTCCGGCGGGGGCGGAAAGGGGACGGAGGGGAAAGGGGGAGACGAGTGCCGGGGCCATGGGGGTCCAGTGGGCAAGGGGCTCCTCGCGGGCGGCGGCGGCAGGGCAGGGGGGCGCCGCCGGCGGCCGCCGGCCCGAGCGGGGCGGCGAGGGCGGGGAGGGCGGGGGTCGGCGGGGCGGGATGAGCGGGAGGCGGGCGGCGGCTCAACAGGTACAAATGGTTCCTCCCCGCAGCAGCAGCGACGTGCAGAAGCGAACGCGCCGCGCCCGCCGCTGTCACCGCCGGGGGGGCGGGGGGGCCGCCTGCTGGCCCGGCCCCGCCCCGCCGCGGCCGTCGGCGGACGGTGGCGGAGCCGCCATTGGCTGGAGCGGCGTGGGGGCGGAGCCGGCGGGCGGGCGCGCGGCGTCGCCATTGGCTGGAGCGGCGCGGGGGGCGGAGCGAGGGGCCGCGGCGCGCGGCGTGGGCCGGGCCGGGGCAGAGCGAGAAGTTGGCGGCGGCGGCGGCGGGAGCGCAGGTGAGCGGCGGCCGCGCCGGGAGGGATCCCCCGTTCCGGAGCTGCGGGGCAACGCCGGCCCCGGGGCCGCACGGGCCAGCCTGTCCCGGGGGTGGGAGCGCGGAGCTGCATCTCCACGCGCCGCGGAGCCCGGGCACGGCGCGGCTCCCCCCTCCCGCGCCCCATCCTTCGCGCTGCCCGGTGTCGCCCATGCTGCAGGCGGGCCCCGCCGCCCCCCCCGTCACCCTCCAGGAGCAGGTGAGCCACTGACTAACGCACATTGTGCTCTCGGCGACTCCACTGTGCGTGTGACAGCGGCTAACCTGCTCCTCGGACATCACTGTGCGGCCGCCTCGCCTCCCCGGACCCGCGCCTCGAAGCCTCGACGCTCCCCTGCGCTCTCGGCCAGCCAGGTGAGGAGCTCCGGCGTGCCAGGGAGTCGGCTCCCCATCGGTCACCACTGTCCTGCCTCCAGCGGTTGCCCGTCCTCGGCTCTGCGGACCCCCAATGATCGGCCAGGATCGGGCGCACTCGCTCAGGGGAGCGCGGAAAGATGGAGCACTCCTGCAGCGGGGCTCGGTGTGTCCCGGGGAGATGGAGGGAACGGGCCGCGTCGGAATGTGGGTGCGAATAGTTGGTGGTAAAGTTGTTCAGGAGGGATGGCGTGCCTCTCTCTGTTCTCTTGCTCTTCTCCAAAGTAAATAAGTGCTAGCGGACTCCGTACCAAGTTAGGGACGCATCATCCCGGCCGGTGACGTCTTGAGAGCCGGTCAGTGACTAACTGAACTGCTATTGCCAAGGGTGTGTTAATAGAAGAAACTCTGCCTAGTAGTGCCCTGGATGAGTCACATTTAAACAGACACTCTCTAGTCTGTTAAAGGAAAAGCAGAAACGAGCCTCACTTTCCTTTTTTGTTGCTGGTTTTTTTTTCCATCCCACCCCTCACCTTTGCTCGCTGTTTTCTTCATCTTGTGACAGGGCTCTATTGGCGGCCCGGCCCTGGCTGGGCATTTGCAGAGCTGCCTTGCCCAATGTGCTGTGATGTCACACAGGGGACTCTGACTTCATGGCCCCGAGGAACAGGAAGGCAAGCCAGGCAGGGACTTTTCCAGCCACCCACGGTGGCTGTCACTAAAAACTGAGGAAGTGACGAAGCAGATGGCTTCTCCTACAAAATTATCTCTTGTGATTTTTTGGCTGCTGAAGAAGCTGGGTAGTTGAAAAGTGTATTTTCTCAAGAGCATCACAGCTTCATTGTCAGCTGAAGTTCCTAATATCCAGCTAGGATTCACTGCAGCTGCTGAGGTTCCCTGGAAGGGCTCAGGTATTCCCCCTACTCCGGGGGCTGCTCTCATGTAGCCCTGGGCTGTTGTAAAGGCTTGATCTGAAGGAATTGGCAGTGCTCTGGTCAATAACTAGTTAATTGCACAGAAGGCAGAGCAAGGTCCTCTGTTGGTAAAGTGTCTCTCTGAGAAGTTTTGCCTGTCCCTATCTCTCCTTCATGCTCTTATCATTTCTGCCTCTGGGTCCTAGAGGAACATCTGCTCTTCACAAGGAAACTCAGCTCCCTCTGTGCTCTGTGTTTCCGTAGTGCTCAAACAGCCTGGGAAGATGGGAAAACCAACCAAATTTACCTGAGATGTTTTCATGTTTGTTCAGAAGCCGAATGGGCCTCTTTATTTTTTTCTTTTTAATGGGGTACAGGGTTGGGTTGGGCAGACGAGTTTGCAGCTGTCTCAGGCCCAGATTGCTTTTTTTCTTCCCTACCTGCACCTACAGCATCATCCCACTTGCTGGTCCCAAGCAGGCAGGAGCACAGTGTAGCCACACAGAGAAAGGGAGGGAGGGAAACCTGGTACAAAATCCATCCATGTACAAGTGTGGCTGAGAGCTGAAACTGAAGGCCACAGTCCCCCTGCCACACCATTTTATAGATGACCATGCATGTAACAAACGTGTGTCTGAAAATAAAGGTGCTTTGTTTCTCTTTGAATGAACAGCCCTGCGTTTGGGACTGTGCTGGCTGATGAGCTAACCCCGGGAGATGCCGCTGGCAGGAGCAGCTCTGCAGGTCACCTGGCAAGGCCTGTCCCAGTTCCCATGAGCAGCACTATGGTATGAATGCTTCTGACTTCCTGCCACCAATGGAACCATCCTGTTCAGCTCCAGTAAGCAAAAGGAAGGGGTTGAAGTGAAGTTTGTTTGGTTTTGCCTTTTTTGTGTGTGTCTCCAGTAAGTGGGGGGAGCATCCAGCTCAATTCCTGTTTTTAACATTCTTCTGGCATGATTCAAAACTAACCTGCTGTGCTGTCACCCGAAGTCTTCAATAAATGTGCAAAACCAGTGTTTGAGTGCTGATTACTGTAATCCAGGGCATCAGCCCAGGTAAGAGGAAAGCTGTGCCTTCTCAGTGATGTGTCTGATTGCACTGCATGCCTGGTTCCTCTCATCTCTTATTTTGCCTCTGTGGCCAGCGAAGGTGGCTTGAAAAGGAGAGCGGAAGGGTGTGACATGGTTGTCCCTCAAGCAGAAAGCCCAGCATCAGCCCTTCTGCCCTGGCCTAGCTGCAGGGTGCTCCTGAGCAGTGAGAAAATACACCAGGGCTGTGATGCCCCTTGAGTTCATCTTTTCAGTAGCTAATAAACAGATTTGTAAGATGGTACTTAGCTTGGTTAGAAGAGTAGTTGTGTGCTTTCACTCCGAACTGTGAGATTTTTGGTGAGAGGCAGGGGAGTGCCTTACAGGAGGGGAAGATGCTGAATTTCAGGCCTGTTGAGCTGAAGGGACTCTTTGTGCTCTTCAAAGATTTTGTTCTTGTTTCAGCTCTTCATGGAGGGAAGGGAACAGGCATTACCCTTCAAGCACCACACGAAGAAGCGTCTGTTGTGTTCTGTCCATAACATGTCTCAGTGTCAGGTGAGCCTCACCGCAGGAGCAAGCTGCTCTATGAGGAACAGGAGTACATGAATTGTTTAAGAGGAAGTCAGTTAGTTAAATGCAAGCAGGGACTTATATAATACATCCTAAAAAAAAAAAAAAGAAAGATTTCTGCTGGCAGAAGGTTCCATTGGGAGAGAAACTTGCTCATCCATAAACAAGAAAATTTCCCAGCCTCCTCTAGTGCTTTATGGTGGTTTTTTTTCCAGGGCAAGGTAGAATGCAGTCAGTCTGCACTCTGAGATGGAGAAAGAAAAATCATAATAGGAGAGCAGACAATGCTCCCTGCATGGACACACACGCCAGTTCAAACAGCTCTTCATCTGCAGTGAGCTATGCTGGGAGAAGCTGTGCAGCCAGGAGCAAGCAGCAGAGCATCTGTACACCACTTGGAGAGCAAAACCATCGGGCATTTTCTCCTCCAGACATTCACACCTTTTCTTATGTAACTGGTGCTGAAGTGTGTGCTTTAAAAGCTACTTGCCAAGTCCAGGGGCTGGGAGGCAGCACAAATGCTTCTAGCACTCTAGATGAAATTGAGGGGAGAAAAAAAAATATCCAAACCCAAACACCCAGGAACTCATACAAATATGTAACTGCAACTTGGGGATGGTTCAAGTGTCTGCAGCAGTGTTGCCCTGAAGAAACTGCACTGGCCTGGGGCAGTGCTGGCACCCAGACCACCATCTGATCAGGTTGGTGAGGAGCTGACTGTCCAGGATAGAGGGGTGAGGAGCTGGGGGCCATTTTTCTTACACAATATTAAAAAATAAAAAGAATCTAAAAAAAAAATCAGGTAGTGCAGCCAGGAAAAGGGCGCCAGGAAGGCTGGAGGTGGCTGAAATACTCTTCTGAATGGTGCGTTGTGCTGGCAGAACCTGCAGATTTATTAAAAAAAAAAGGCCAACAAAAATGCGGACTGCTCACCAGTGAAAAACAGGTAAATCCTTCACTTTGTGATTTTCGGGTGGCACTGGAGCTAGCCAGGAGAAGCATCTGAGGAGAGAGAAGCTCTGAAGTCCATTCCTGCCCACTCCAGGGAAGGAAGAAGCTGCCCATGGCGCCTGAGGGACATGGGGACACGAGTCCCTGTGCAGCCAGGCACAGCATCCTCGAGCCACCCTGCACACTTGGATCCCTGCCTTGCCCACGAGCCAGTTCCCTCTCCAGTACGCGCCGTACGCTGGGCTGCTGGTTTGTTTTTTAAGGGAAAAAACAATAATTTATTTGCTTTGTTTTAATCTCATAACAATGGGTAATGGTAATTTCTTCCTACCACTCTGTAGTGGCCTAGAAAAGGACAGCATCATCTCCACTGTAGCAAGGAGGCTTGTCCCAGGGCATAAAATTTTAATTAGGAACAATCACGCAGCCTTGAAATGGGAATCGCGAGCAGCAAAAAAGTCAAACCATCAATAAAATATTCAATGGCAGAAATGTATTATTGACACAGGCTTTAGAGCAGCTAAAAGCGGGAGGGCGGGGGAGCGGGTATCGAGCCTCGCTGCATTAAATAACAGGCGGGGACCCATGCAGGCCCCCGAGCCCCAGGAATATAGGTCACCCTGGGCTGGGAGCTCCCGAGGTAACACAGGAGTTTATTGCCACCCACCTCTGCCCCACGTGCACCACAGCAGGGACAGAGGTGTTAATCAAAGTAATTTATTACCTTGTAAAACACTGCTGGCCTAGGCAGCAGCTGGGTGATGGTGGGTGGGACACAAAATGAAGAAAATCTGCAAAGAGCTACAGTCTTGAGAGTTAGCCCCTGGTCACAGCCCTCTCGCTAGCCCCATGCCCGGTTATCAGTAGGGGACACAGTTGATTTACTCTGTCTCCCACCCATGCAACAGTTCCAAATCCTGAGTGCCAGCCAAGGGGCATCAGCTGAAGGGCCAAATCTGCTGCGATATATATTTAAAATATCTTTATTTTCCACACCCTCCCACACCTCCCTCTAGGAAAGACTGGTGCTGGTTTGGCCTGTTATGATTATGACTGAACCTACAAAACTGATAAATAATATATAATCGTAACAGACGGGAAAAAAATCCCCCAGATTCAAATTAATTTTCTGTCCCCATTTGGAAGTACCATAGGTGATGACCCTTTTCTCTTTATTCCTGTTTATTTTGCAGAATGCAAGGCTAACAAATGTAACCCAAAAAATGAAAGATCCAGTTTTAAACCTGCAGAGGTCAGTTTTCTGGGATATACAAAGGATGTCCCATGACACACTGAAATCCAGCCATGTCCAGGGAAAGTGGGTTTTCTAATCTGCTTTTCCCTCCCCTCCCCAAGCAGCACTGAAATGCTCTTTTTACACTGTCCATCACCCACTTAGCAAGGCAGAATCTTTAAAAGCAAGAGTCCAAAAAAAAAAAGCACACAAAGCTCAAAAAGCAAACAAGCAGGGGAGAAACAGCTGCATGTAATGAGCATATTTTAAACTAATTTTCCTTAAGATACATGATTTAAGGAGGAGGGCGAGGAAGAACTTGAAAAACAACCCACCCAAAAAACCCCAATTCAAAAAAGTCAACTTTGAAATTGCATCTCCCTACTGTGGCAGCTCTCCAGTCATAACCTAAGACACAGCAGTACCAGTGGATCTCCCAAAAACGCAAACTTTAATCCTTTAATATTACTTGATCAGCCTGCTGGGCTGTGGTAGCACCTTGAAAATCAGCTTTGAGAGGGGAAGATGTCCCCAGGGACAACAGCCCAGCAGAAGCTCAGGGGAAATGGTGATGGACAGCAAGAGCTGACATTCCTGGCTGCTGTTATCCAGCTGCAAAGAGGCTTGGAGGCAAATGGGAAATTTCCCCTTACCTGCTCCTCTCTGCAGCTGAGCGCCACCCCCTTTGCCTCCTGTCCTAAAATGCTCTGAGCTGCTGCTGCTGTGCATTATTAAAATGTTGCCATGTTTCATCCCAGAGATGGCTGCAGCTCGCTGGAGACAAGCTGCATCCCCTGGCTGTAAAGCACTTCACGATTTAAAAAAAAAAAAGAAAAGGGAAAAAAAAAAGAAAAGAGCACTGTGTGCATAAGAGTCAGTCAGTTATAAAATACTCACAGCTTTAATTCGGCAAATAGAAAGAGATGGCTTGGAATGGAAGAGGCAGCTGCGGGGTGCGCAAACCACTCGGACGCATCCAGCAGGGACGGCTCACCCTGGCTACAAGAGCACACTCACACTCGCTTTGCTCAAATCCTTTCCCAAAGATTTATTGAAAATTGGATCTGTGGCGCACGGGATTTACATTCGCACAGGGAAGAGGGGTTTTACCGGGAACACTGCGCCCGAGTCACATTTTCCGCATACGACACACTGAAAACAGGCTCAGGGATCTCCCAGACAAACTCATCCCCTCCCCAAACTGCTTTGGTTTTGCAATTAAAATACAAGGTGCCCCACTGTGACAGATGAACAGAATGGTAACTACTGGCCATCGAGTTAAAAAAAAAATCATCAGGGAACTGTCACCAATAGTATTTTGGTCCTGCTCTCCACTCACACCACCACCGGGGAAGGGCTCATTCTGCAATTTTTTACTTTAAAAAGAAGTTGAAAGATTAAATGAATTTAAGAAAAACAACTCCTGCTCTGTGCTTCCTTGAAGCGTGGTCTGTGGCACCATAGAAAGTGGTTTCTCCTACAGGTTTCTTATAATATACATAAAAAAAGATGGGCCAGAAATTTGTCTTAAAACTGTTTTTGGGCCTCCCTTGCCACCAGTGAAGAGGCTGTTTGTCATGGCCCCACTTGCAGTGACAAGTTGCTGTGAAGTCTGTTAACTTGCTCCATCCAGGTGAGCCTCCTCGTGGGTCTCCACTGCAGCTTTGCTCCCCTAGTCAAAGGAACAATGACTTTTCCAGATGCACGATGGATCTTTTGAGGAGGCTATGCAGAATGGGTGCACTGCTGTTTTCTGTTCAATATAGAAACTACTTAAAAAAAATAGAAGGGAGTCACTTTCATCCTCAGGGGAAGAGGGTTGCTTTTTGAGATCAGTCTCTAGTTTTGCTTTACAGTCTGTAAAAATATTCTGTCTGGCCATCCACATCTATTCACAATATAAAGCAGTAAAAAAAAATATAAAATATATATATATATATATATATATAATATGGTTTATTTATACAGTTACACTTTGAAGGCAATTGATCCTCCACTGCCTGGGACCTTCTACCTCCAGATGCTCTGCCTGGTTGATACAACTGCAAGATAAGAGAAAAAAAACACCTGAGCAATCCCACCATGGTGGGTGAGCACTTGCAAAAAGGAGAGTGGAAAACAGGATGTATGTGAGCACAAAGCCTGGACCGGGAGATGGGAATGCGGCTGCCACAGTGTCCTGAAGGATGGGTGGATGTATTGGGCTGTGTGGAGGATGGCAATAGGTTTTTGCTGGGGAAAAGGCAGCATAAGGTGGGAGGAGGATGCCAGGGTGGAGGTAGCATCACCACAGCAGGTAGGTGTCCCTACTACGGCTCTCTTTTGCTGCACCCAAAAAACAGGTGCAAGGTGACAAAAGAGTCACAGGAAGTAGGAAGGGTTTTGGGATGAAATGGTCAATAATATGGAACAAAAGTAGCTCCTGTTAAAGCCAGGAGACAAGTCCTCCTCATCCTAACTGAGCAAGGCCTTAACCCTGGGGGTACAGAGTGGCAGGAGAGGGATGAGAACCATCCTCCACAGCTCCTGGCGGGGCAGAGAGCCAGGCTGCCAGTGTGTGAGCCCCTGGCAGCACAGCAGAGACTGCTGGAGTGTGAGCTTTGCGCTTCCTAATGGCATCTATAAATAGCTCTGGCCTCCCACCACCAGCACACGCTTGCTCTCTGCAGCCCATTTTGGGCAGCAAAAGCCTCTCCCCTCTTCCCACCCATCCTCTGCAGAGCAGCTCGTGCTCCCAGGGCCCCAGTGGGACATACGCACCCTCGGGGTTCAGGCTGGACACCAGGGGCTCCGGCAGGGTCCTGGGATGGCCGAGGAGCTGCTTGGTGCTGACCTGGGGAGGCAAGTCTGTACCAGCGGTGGGAGAAAAACCTACAGGATGGGGAAAAACATCCAGCTCAGGCAGGGCTTGAGCCTTCCAGGCTTGCTGGGCACAGCTGCTGCAGTGCCACAGGGCAGTCATGTCACCCGCTCCGGGTGCTCCAGAGGAGAAATGACCAGGTCCCTTTCCGTAAGACCCCCCCACTGCCTCCTCTCATGCCTGTGAGGTTGCAGACAAGGCCCTGGGCACCACCCTTCCCTCGCCAAACACAGAAAGGTCATTTGCGGCCAGAGGATGTCCCCACCAGCCCACAGCCCCCGGGGACTGACGCAGGCCTTCAGCCACCTGCCTTCTGCTGCAGCCGCTATGGTGACATGAGCAAGGCTGTGAAGGAAAGCTCCCTGCAGCCACCTCAGCCCCAAAAGCAGCAATGCAGGATCCAACTCCTGTGCATGTCTACGAGCAGCCCCCAGGCTTCAGTGGGGAGAAGGAAGGAGCCCCAGGGGTGAAAAATCTCTGAAACCCCGTGGGAGTGGTGCGTGACTGCCATGTCAGCACACAAACCCCCAGCTGCCTAATCTCAGTGCCCAGGGGAGAAGTGGCCAGCTTTGGGGCTGACCCCACGGAGAGGGAGGCAGGGAGCAGCCCCCGCGGCCGAGCCAGCGTGCTGACCTCCGTTTCTCCGGTAGGCTGGCAGCTCGCACGGGCTCGGCTCCGGCTGGGCGTCCTCCTCGGACCGGGCCTGCAGGACGGTCACCGTGGCCCCCGTCTGCTGAATAAACTGCTGCAAATTACACTGCCTCAGCTCCTTATTTAACTCCTCCAGCTCTTGGGTCTGGGCCTGCAAAACACACACCAAGGGGGGAACAGGGTGAGCCGCACGTTCCCCCCGTGCCCCCAGCCCACGGGCAATCATCCGCTGGGGCTGCTCCCCAGCTGGGGCTCACCCTGCTGGTGCCAGCACAGGAAACCTCAGTGGTACTGTGGCTCAGCCACCCCTCTCTGAGGGCTGCAGGAAGGGAGGTGCCCAGGCAACGGGGATGAGGATGACGCTGGTTTGGGAACAGCCCTGCTCTGCTGCATCTCCACAAGAGGGTGCGAGCAGCCATCAAACGCGCCCGCTGTGCTGGGAGATGCCAAATGCAAATGATATGCTCAAGGAAAGATTCTGAAAGCATGGACAGCCTAGGGAAAGCCTGGATAAAAGCTTCCCCGTTTTGCTCCAAAGGGACATGGTGGGTAGAAGGCAGGAATCATGCAGCCCCTTGATCCTTGATGCTGGGAGGCTGCAACAGGAGAGCTGGGAGGGCACCAAAGCTCATCCTCAGAGCTGCCATCTCCGCACTGTGCAGCCCCCCACCATGAGCCCAAGCCCTGCATGGTCAAAAGATTTTGTGCACAGGCACCACAGGAACCTCTGTTAAGCCCTTTGTGACTCCTTCATCCAAGATGACATTGACCCTTGTGCCAATGCCATCAACCCCACATGTGGACCACTTGCTCCAGCACCATTGTCTGTGCTGGAGTGAGGTGATGCTGTGCTCCTGGAGCACCAGTGAGAAGGAGCATTAGCCCAGACATAGCTTGCACAGAGAGCAATGGGTGTGGGACCCCGTGCCAGTGGGGCAAGAGTGGTGGCGTCCCTCTGTCAGTGATCACTGCTGCAGAGAGCTGTGCACCCAGTCCCAAGATCTCTGGGCAGGTGAAGTAACCAACCCCACTCAACCCATAGCTCTAATGTGTTTGGAAAGCTGGTCCCACCCCTCCCTCAAGATCTTACCATCCCATGGGGTGGCTCAACCCAGTCTTATCTACCTGCAGGTTCTTTTCAGCTTCCTCCAGGGCCTTCTCCACGCTGGCCAGGTTGCTCTCCAGCTGGGTGCCTTGCTTGACCTTGGCCTCCAGGTCCCTTTTCATTTTGGTGGCCATGTCCTCCAGCTCTATGGGGCTGGGCATAGAGATCTCCTTCCCCCTCTTGGCCCTCTCGGCCATCTCCCATTGGATCTCCTCCTGCAGGGCTTCAGTCCGGATGCTCAGCTCATAGATCCTCTGGGTGTACTCCTCCAGGCTGGCCCGCAGGCTCCTCACCCGTTCCTGTCGCTCCCGCTCGCACTCCTTTTCCAGCCGGAGCTCACTCTGCCAGAACTCCTCCTCACCCAGCTCCGTCTCATTCCTCCGCACCACTTGCTCCAGATAGAGAATCTCATTCTCCTGGCCAGCAAGCCGGCTGCGCTCCCAGAGCCGTAGGTCCATTTCTAGGGTGTCCCCATGGGCCTCCAAGGAATGCAGCTGCTCCTGCTGCTGCAGCACTCTCCTAAAAAGCTCCTCCTTGGAGGGCTGGACAACACCACCACCCTCCAAGTCTAGCCCATCCCGTGTTTGGTGCCTCCATCGGCTCACGGTGAACAGGTCGCTGGAGCCTGTAGGACCCAGGCTGAAGGTCATGGATTTTTTGGGCTCCCTGGAACGGGGTCCGTCTATGCTGGTGAGCCTGGGCTTGATGGGCAAGCTGGCCCGGATGAACGTCCTCTCGGGAGCCTGGGGAGAGCCCTCCGAGGAGGGCCGCTCGGCCATGCTGGGGCCTGTCCGCCGCAGGATGAACTGCACGTCGTTGGCATACTGCCCGCACTTGGCCAGCGACTCCAAGGGACACTCCAGCGGCAGCAGCTGCCGCTCCTTCTCCCGCAGCTTCTGCACCAGCACATAGCGACCCGTCTGACCTGCCGGGAGGAGGTGAGCACATCAGATCGGGAAAGCAGAGGCCAGCAGGGGTGTGCTGAGGCTGCTGCCCCACAGGCAGTGCTGCTGGCATCCCCACCACCACAGAGCAAGACCTCCACCCACCCAAGGACTCCTTTTCCTAGGAAGAACCTGCAGATGGGGCACCCCCCAGCAGATGGAGATGGCTCACCAATGGCCCGTGCCAGGGCAATGACCACTTCTTGGCAGGTGGTTTGCTCCGAGACTCCACACACGACCCTCTGGATCCCATCCACCCAGACCTTCAGCTCCATCCCCTCAGCTGCCGGGCCTCAGGTGCTCTGGGTCATTGCAGGACAGGCTGCCTGTGGGGAGAAAAGAAACCAGGTTTCCATCCCAAGCCACTAACAAGGAATACAAGATGCTTTGAAAGTGGTGTCATTAAGTCATCATCCCATAGGGTGAATCCTAGACCAAGGAGTTGTTCGCTGCCACCCTGTGCACAGATTGTACTTTTGTTGATGTTATTAAACACTGATATTCATCTGCAAAGAATTTTTTTTTTTCCTTATGTCTGGACAGTGGGTCCAAATCTTCCTGTGGTGGGAAATGATGAGGTCTGTGTGTCTGTGCGGTGCCCAAAAGATGCCCAGGTTATTTCTGCTGTGAGCACAGACTTTTAATGGGTTTTCTGGACTTTCACTACAATTTCCCTGAAAATCTGATAGAGTGGCACTGAGAGATTTTCTAAACAACACTGTAAAAGGCAGATGAACTGCTGGCTACCCACTTTTGCAATGATATAGAGGGAAAGTGCAGATAATGCACATTTTAATCTTTTCATATTTACATCCATCTCAATTTATCAGAGAGAGATTAAGAAATTAAAATAAAGCCTCTTTCTGAACAAAAACATGACCAAAGGTAGGGTTTGGGAGGGGTAGCCAGGCATGAACACCCATGACAAAGCCCAGGCTCTGACCAACACTGGGTTCAGCTCAACTCCATCCAGTGGGTACTACTACCATAAAACAACACCTCTTAGCCTGGGCACACCCAACTCCTGTCTCTTCCAGCAGCTCAACAACTGCAACTGGCATAAATTAAAAAAATTAAGCACAAGCTGTAAAGAACTCAAATATTTTTACAGAGTTTTCAAACACCATGCAAAGATGTATCGATTTTCCCTACTATAGCACTGGTTTTGACACTATCAGTCTTGTCTGAAAGTCCTGGATGGAGTAACATACACTAAATTTTCAGGCCCTTCATCCATGGGGGGTCACAAACTGCTTTCCCAGCTTCACCTGGCTGGTCACAGCCCCTCCCTCTGCTCCAGCTATCCCAAGTTTGCAGCCAGGCTGTGAGAAAGCTTGACCTTTGGTTAAACTCCACTTCTTCATTATTTTTTGTTGCCTACTCGAGTAATCAAAGGGAGGGCTTGAAGGGTCCTGTCTCCAGTGATGAGGAACTTTAATAGTGGTGTGAGAAAGGCAAGGAGAAACCAAGGAGGACACGGCTTGGTGAGGCCGTTCTGCGCAGGTGCCAGGTCCTGCTGGTGCCACCTCCCTGCCCACCTCCAAAACACGGGCACGGAGCAGCCGTCACAAATACCTCAGCGCTGAGCTCATGTTTGCCTTGGCCGAGCCACTGGGGAAACTGTGGGGCTGAAGGACACCTTGGGTTCGGCCCACCTCCCTGTAAGCCCCAAACCACTAACATTTGCACAATATAAATTTGAAGCTGCGTTTTGGCACCACTCCCCAGTCCTGTGTATTCAAGGCTGCCACCGTCCCCCGGCATGGAGCAAAGTCCAGGTGCCACTGCGGCACCACCCAAATCAGCCTGAAACCACTGTTGTTCACCCCCCAGCCTTCCCTCAGCAGCACCCTAACACCACAGCTGGAGAGCAACACACCCCATAGAGCACTCCCTACACCCCCCTTCCCTGCCCAGGGACCAAGCTAGTCTCAAATCCGCCTTCTTGTGCCACAACCCAGGATACGGGGGCCAGGAGCTTAGGAATAAACAAGAAAAATAAGGCAGCTCTTTGAGTCACAGCGAACAGTCTCACCTTGCTGGCAAAATCCGGGGCTGCCGGGCGCTGTGGGAGCAGGATGGCTGCGGGCACACGGGTGCCGGGCACCAGTCCGGGTTCAAACCAGGCACCAAGCTGTGGCCCCGCCCTGGCCGGCCTTCCAGGCAATCATTTACCAGCATCCCGGAGTGCGGCACAGCGCTGCCAACAGGCTGGGAGACACGCAGCCAGCTTTGCTCCTCATGCAGGAGGAACCCCCCAAAAAGCAGCCAGGGCATAATCCCTACTACGTTCTCCAGCACCCCAAAATCTAATGGATTTTATTGCTTCCTCAGATCCTTGCAAGCACAGGGGGTCCTTGCTGTAACCTCTAGGGGATTTGGGAGTCGTCTCCAGTTTGCTGCCAGATACAGGATGTTATCTGCCCCCTGGAAGAGGGCTGGGGGCTGCTCCCTTCCCTGCCTGCCCTCCCCCTGCCTTCTGGGGAGGATCAGCTCCCACTCAAAACCAGCCTTGCTGCCCCCTCTTCCCCCAAATCCCTGGCCTCACAAGGGAGCAGAGAGGATGAAGGTTCATCCTTGTCTGAGGGGACCTGCAATGCTCCCTGATCCCCTCAGTCCCTGCCTGGGAGGGACATCACAGACTGCACTCAGCATCTCATCCCCAATACTCCACCATGACAGCCTCACTCTAGTTAAAAAAAAAACCAAATAAAACCCCATCAGGCAATAAACCTATAAACATTCACTTTGCCCCAAGCATCACCTTTGCTGTAACCTACTCAGTTCTTTACCACCACTCAAAACCACAGCAGCTGGGGGTGAGTCTCATTGCCCCACTTGCAAATAGACCCCCCTCTTAATGGGGGTTCCCTGCCAGCCCCCTGCATTAATAGTGGGTGCCCTCGTTACACCACCAGGTAGGAGAAATAATGGGCTTTTTTTGGGGCAAGAATTACTTTTCTGGGGAAGAGCAGCTTTTCAGCAGAAGGTAGGTTTCCAGCTGCCTCTGTTTGTATTTACCCCAGGAGGTTGCTTTGATCATGAACCCGAAGGGCAGGCAGCTGCCAGGCCCTGCCCCTGCTCCTAAACAGCACCAGGGAAGCCAGCAGGTGGCTGTGGGTGCCAGGACACATGACTGCTGCTCCCAAAGGCCACTCATTTTATTCTAAATAATTTTTATTGGAAGCAGATTAACAAAATGACTAATTTTCTGTTCCCTTTCCCCATGTGATGGGTCCTAAAATTGAGGGTAGGGATGATTCATGCCATGACTTCAACAGATTTCCCGACTGAAAGTCAGAATTTCAAATGCTGACACTAGAAAAAAATACTTCTTTAAATTAAAAATCTCAGATCCTGCAGCTTTATTTTGATTCCTGGCACTGCTGTCTCCCAGCCTCCCTGAAACTGTCAGGCTAAAGGAAGTGGAGATGAAGGAGTATTTCCTCACATGCAGGAGGATGTACCTCTTGCTCCTGCAAACTGCCATCCTGATGGCTGCTGGGACTCACAAGGGTCTGGTGACCTCCCCTGGACCTGAAATAGTAGAATATTGCCCAGTCACCCTCCTCACAAAAGTGAAGACCACTCCTGATTTGTAGGGCCACCTGCAAATCTCAGAAGCTGAGACAGCACCTTCCAGCCAAAGAGTGCAAGCACTTTGCAAGAGTCTGTCTAATATGTTTTGCCACACACAATAATAATAATTTTTAAAAAAATCAAAATCTGTTTCAGAAAAAACTCACCTATTTTGTACCCAACAGCAAGGCCTACTGCAACCCAAATACTAAAGTACCCCAAACATCTCTACCACAGCTCCGAAAAAGGACCATCTGGGACCAACAGGTTGAGATGGGCAACCTGCCAGCACTAAGGCTTCACCCATTTTTGCAGGTTCACTCACCTCCCTCACTGTGTCCACCCCCTGGCAGGGAGCTGGGTACAGGGCCAGGTGGCAGGAGAGGAGCACCACAGGGAAGGCTTCCAAGAAAGCCTAATAAAAAGTGAAAGGAATCCAGAGGACCAGCCTTTCATGTCAGGGCTTGGGCTGAGGGTAGGGGCATAAAGACTCATAGTTAATAAACTGCATTAGTACTTGAGAGCAGGCTGTGATGAGCCTGCCATCCGTGAAGCACCAAGGTGTCCATGGGGACCAGCAGCTTTGCATCCCTCTGGATGCAGCCCAGGAAAATGCTGGGGTACTCTCAGTTGTTTTATTTCTACTTGGAACCTGACCCTCTGGCTCCTCTCCCACCCAGTGCCAGGGGGATGCTCATCCCAGCCATGTGCAGACACCTCAATAAAAAACCCAACCCAGCACATGAGTAAGCAGCAGGTGGGGAGGGGAGGGCTGGCCTGTGCTGCCATCCTCTGTGCTGGGGCGCTGGCAGGCTGGCTGTGACTCACTGCCCTGCTTCAACTGCTGCAGTGACACATCCAGCAGCTATTTAATACTTCCTCAAGGCTCTCCCTGCTCTAAGCACTGGGGCCAGCTGCTGCACCAAAGGGGAGAGATGGTACTTGCCCACCTGCTGAAACCTCTGGTGGGGCAGAAGCCTTCCTGTTACTCTGGTGACCAACACAGAGAAGATCCATAAATAACTGAAGCCTCCTGACAACACCTGCAGCAGGTTGGAGGGGATGGGACATGGTCCAGGTTTCCCTCCAGACCACAAACTGTGTCCTGCTGCCTTGGGACCCTCTTTTGGAGTGACATCACCTGCCCTTGGCTGAGCTGTTACAGGGACTGAGCGGTTCTGCTGGGCTCTCCATGCCATGTCCATCCCAGGACAGAAGGCAATGCCGTTGTCAGGGTTGACTGCTGGCCAGTCCAATGCTGAGCAAGGATCACCTATGGGAAGGTTTGATGCCGTGGCACATGCCAGGCTGGCAGTTCCCTTGCTGGGCAGAGATGACCATCCACATCTCTGAACAAGCTGTCTGTGCAGCAGACTCTGACAACCAGCCACGGTCACTGCCACCACAGCTGGGAGCACCAGGCAAAGCCCCAGCCACTTGGTGCACAGCTTTTCCACCATTCCAGCTTGTCCTGAGGATGCCAGCCCCAGGATCCTGAAGGAACACATCCTCTGGCCCAGTGCAAGGCAGCCAAGAGGGTCACCTACCAAAGGCAGCAGTGTCCTGTCCTTTGGCGTGGGGGCCACCAGGGTGCGGCTGGGACGCTCGCAGCACAGAGCTCCAAAGTGGAGCAGCAGATGGGTTACTTCATCCCAGCACAAAGAGTTGACAGGGGTTAAACAAGCTCAAGAGGTGA